AAAGATACTGGAGTGGCTTGCCAGTTCCTGCTCCAGGTGGATCGCATTTAGTCAGAACTCTCCACTATGACCTGTCCGTCTTGGGTGTCCCTGCATGGCATAGCCCATAACTTCTCTGAATTACTCAAGCCCCTTTGCCACGACAAGGTAGCAAGCCATGAAGGGGACTAAAAGCACAGTTGTGATTAAAAATTACTTTTTCAAGGTGAATCTTTCCCAAACATGTATTTCTCCTATATTATTGGCCAATGTTCAACAATATAAATCCAGTATGTTGGAAAAAGCTTTACAGTAAACGTCTGGTTATTGCATAAGAAATACAGCCTTCATTGTATGTATGTTTTTATGTGCAACTGCCCTTGACTTTGTATTGTTTTTAGATAGCTATAAATGACTCACCTGTGCTCTTTCATATGCCCTATAAGAAAAGAGAGAAGCAATTCTGTTTGCTGACTTTGAAACATGGCACTCAAACTTTGGTGTAGGGTCTAGTGCAGTTTTAATTGTTGAGTCCATTTGATTTGTGCCCAGATTTTCATATATAGTCTTCATTCTTCCCTGAAAGGTGAGAAAATGACAGAAAAGGTCAAAATTCCAACATGTACAATATATTGCATCTCCACTGCCATTAACATACAACTATGGAAACTATGTGAGAGACTAAAATACCACACACATACATATGCCATCTTTCTCAGCAATATCCCACTGCATTTTATTTTGGGAAAACATGCCAAATTTAATGCAAGGGAGTAAGTGGGCACAAAATGGCTGTCATAAACAGAAATACTTGAAAACCAGCAGTTTTTGACCCTTCCTGGATGCTCTTTCTCTGACTTTACAGTTGCAGTCCTTGAACAAAGGAACTTCAAACAGACTTTATAAGGAGATCACTGAGCAGCAATTCATCAGGAAGTTCAGCACACTTTTGCTCTGTCACCCAGCCAGGTCCTAATCACCAGCACAGAGATGTAATTAATTACTGCCTACTCTTTGTTAGCAATCTTCTTCACCCAGGACGAATACACTTTACTGTTATCCTCCAAGACACAATATCCCTGCCAACAGTTTTAAACCCTCTCCAGAGACACAGCCATTCCACTAGCCTGAAGAAGTGTGCCTGTACACAAGAAAGCTCATGAAAAATAAACACTTGTTAGTTTTTGAGGTGCCAAAAGATTTTTGTTTCCTTTTGCACCAAGAGACTAAATCAGCTCCTGGCTAATTATACACATGTTATAGCATCAATTTTTTAAGTGAAGAGATGCTTATGCTCTAAAATTCTGCAACCTGATTTGTATATAAAAAGGCTTTCTATTTAGTGCCCCATGGCACTGAGTTACTGTATTAAGCAATATTTGACAGCATTAAGCCCTTCTGGGAGAGAAACATCTCATGCCATGACTGGCTAAGCCAAGAAGACCATCATTATTCCAGAGAATACTAGAACAGAAATTAGATTGCATTTGTTGTCCCAGAGCCTGTGCCCCTTAAGGGAAGGATAAGCTGCAGCTGGTTAAGCAGTTTTAGGGGGTGGTTCTCCTTGCAGGTATGTGTTGCCAGAGACAAGACCCCCAAGTAGGCCAGGCAATTTTGCCAGTAATTGGTGGCAGATACCAACAGTAAAGCAGGATAGGTTGAAATAGGTCTCTCCTTTTGCCTGGGATTGTGCTGGCCTGAAATGGGTACCTGGCTTCTACCTTGACTCAACACAGGGTTCCCCATTTTCCAGAGTCTTGTGATGACTTGCAGTCTGTGACATCAGCTGTGTGTGTAAGAGGGGCAAAATGCCTTTACAAGATCACCTACCCCAGTATCTTCCATCCTTGCTGCCCCCTCCTTTCTACATCTCCGTATTCATATTCTTCCTCACTCCTCGTTTCCACATTAACACATTAATGTTCTTCTCCTTCCCATACCTGTCTGTCTCCATTCTGTCCCTATATTTTTCCCCTATGTGACTTTCTTCTTTTCTGCCCACCTCTCCAGCTCCTCCATTTCTCATTCCACCTGCTTCTCAGGTTTGCCAGGCAATGGGCTGCTAGTACAGGGCACATTAGCCTTGTCAGTTCTGCACAGCACCAGTCTACTGGGACCCAGACCACCAGAGATGTTTGTGGTGACATGAAGCTCTGCAGCATGTCTGTGGACAGCTTTGTATGACCAAATATTAAACTCTTGCAATAATTTCAGAAAAGTGAAAGTAACATTTCATTAGTGAATTATGACTGAGTCCAGTTAATAACCTCACCTTTATTACTTTAAATATAATAATATCACCAGTTGCATTAGCTTCCAGAGGATTAGCCTGCAACAAATCAGCATACCTAGAAAGATATACACCTGCAGGACGGAAAGACAAAAACTGATAAAGTAAGATTGAACATATACGGAATTATTCAAAATCTATTCACTATACTCAAAGACAGCACAAGACTATATTTTCAATGATTTGGGGGGGGGGAATCAGCCTTCTGCTGCAAATCTCTAGTATTCTGTAAGCTGCAAATTTAATAACAATAAAGAAGGATAGTTACCTAGAGAAGGGTTGCCAAGAACAGTTATCTTGGAATTGCCCACCTGCAAGCCATTTTCACATATATTTTGCACCTAAAAATTAAACAGTTTATTTAGTGTCAAAGTAAATATATTTAAGACAGTAATAAGCAGACATCAGAGCACATTTAAAATGTCAGTTGAGTTTTAATTTTACACTGTACTAAGTTTAGATTACTATAATTTCTGATACTGATTTACCGAGCTTATATAATGCAACAAAATGTTAGCAACCCCTCCAAACATTCAGGGAATGAAGGTGTTTGTAGATGTCTGTCCCTACATCAAGAATGGTTGTTTACAACTAAGCACATGCCTTTTTTTTTACTCTGAATTCCAAAATTATCTATCCTGAGAATTCCACTTGTCAGATCCATATCTAGATACCATATGTCCCCTATTTACAAGTCTCCTATGCGCAAGAAGCAGGTACAGAGACAGACAACCTGTTTGTTCCCTCAGCCTGGTACTAAGGATACAAAAAGGACATGCTGGTTTGTATCTGCACTTCCAAGGCACACAGAGGTCCAATTACCTGGAAAAAGCAGGGAGAAGCCAATGGATCTTTGCCTGCTTTCATTAGCTCAAAGTTAGAAAGCAAGGACAACAAAATTTGAGCTTGCCTTTATTCCTGAGAGCCGTCGAAGTTCTGAGATGGCAGCAGGTTTAGAAGTTAAGCAAGCTGACATGTTTCCATCTCCCTCACCAAGCTTTGAGCTGGAGGGGGAATATATAGTCTCTTTGCCTACTGGACCATCCTGAGACTGGACCAGGTAGAAAGACAAAGCAAACCAATATGCCTCCATCTTGACTTGGGAAGAGAAGATGGAGCAATCTGTTTCCTTGGCATTCAACAAGCATGGAGGCATTTCTAATGATAAATTAGGTTATCAGAGTTACACATCTGCTGGACTACTGGATATCCCTCTGTGAAAAAAAGGCCGAAATCCCATTGCTTAATGTAGTAAATTGTACTAGAGCAGGTCCATTAAATCTGTGGAGATTTACTGAGAGAGGCTAAGAAACACTAAAAATCATGCCTTCTCGGTCATGGGCCCTGCTTAACGGAATGGGATCCCAATGGAAGTTTGTCTGGCCTCTTCCTTCTCATCCTTTAAAAGGATGCTTAAGATGTTATTGTTTCACAAAGCATTTAAGGGTAATCTCCCTTAGGTTTCCTATCGTATGTGTTTCCTGGAGTCCACTATCATCTGAGGTTTTATTCTATGTATGTATTAAACTTATTTATTTTGCTGGGTGGTTTGGGTTGTCTACTTTATCTTTCTAAACTGCTTAGAGTCATATCCCACACTAAATCAGCAGTATATACATTTACGAAATAAATAAATAAAATCTGTAAGTTCCATTGATTCAAATGGACTATTCTAGTTGCAACTTACTGAAGAATAATAATTGGCACATGGAGTAGGCACATTTGAATCAATGGAACTAATAGGAGTTGCTTCACTCTTATTAGTTCCATAGTAAGCAACTGATTCAATTGGCCTACTCTAATGTTACTTAATATGCTAAGGAACAGAAATTCAGCCAGTAAGTATCCCCTTCAGAAACATATTTTTGTTCACGTTTCTGAAGTTATCTCTACTGTCTCCAAAGATGAACATCTAGTCATGTACACTATGCCCAGGCAAAAATATCAAATTTTGAGACAGGCGTATTTCCACTGTGCATTTCCACTGCATATTAATGCTTACCCATAGCAGTCCATTTTTCTGCCAAAACACACACAGACACAGACACACACAAACAATGGAAAATAAGCAGTAGCACAAGTTCAGTAAGCCACTTAAAACACATAAACACTTTTATTCCTTAAAACACTACCACACTTCAATAATGATTTAATAGAAATAACACTCTCACCAGAGAACGGTCAATCTTCAGAAATGCGTATGATTCAGCTAGCTCTTTTTCCGATCGGCCATCTCGTTTCAATTCTCTTCGCTTCTCGATGAACTTTAAAAAAAATAAGGTTTTAACAATAACACTTAACAATAACTAACACTGATTTTTGAAGATTAGATGTATTCAATGTTTTAAATCTGGCAGCACTCCAGAAATCATTATAGAAATAAAATTCCTTTCCCTTTGTCTCCTTAACTTCCTTGAAACATATACCTGAAGAATAGATATCCTCTTAAACAGCATGGGCCATCAATGTGCAGCAGAAAGAGACAACCGTCCCACACAGGCCAGAAGAATAATGCTAAAGCAGAGCTGCACTCAAAGAAGTGCTTTTGCTCCATTTTGGGCAACCCCCTACCCAAACCCAGTACAAGCGCCCTTCCCATACTTCGCAAGAACAATAATTTTATTTACAAAACAATTTCTATCTTGCCACTTTTCACCTCTAACATAGTTCAACTGCAAGCAATTGCAAGCAGCCTTCTCTTTATACAAGCTCTATGCTCATTTTAATGATGTCTATTGAATTATCATCATCATCTTAGAACTACAGAGCTGGAAAGGACCCTATGGATCATCAAGTCCAGCCTATCAAGAACACACAGGGGGCAATCAAACTTCCATCCTCTGGTTCCAGATAGCCAGATACCTAAACCACTGAGCTACCCAGCAGTTCGTGACATAGGTATGGATTCAGATACCTACCATGAATGAATGAATGTTTACATGCACAAGACATGTGTCTGGAGCTTTTCCAAAGAGTATAAGGTTCCAAAGGTTAATAAATATTAACCTTCAATTTTAATAACAGAAAAACAAAAAGGTTGCACTATAGACATTAAACTGTGACTGCTGCTTCTTGCTTTCTACCTTGCAAAATTTCTCACAAAAATGACAACCTACAATGTCTGCACTTTATTTTCAACTTTTGCCAAACATAAGGATTTGCAACAGAAAAGACAAGCACAAGCTCCTATTCACGCAGAGTCAAATACGCCTTCTACCCCCACAGCAGAGCAATTAATGATGTACCAACTTTAAGTACATTATACTGAAGTGAATGAACTAACTTAACATATCTCAGTTGAAGTTTTTCCTTTCATACTAAAAAACGCATTATCAATTTAGTGCAACTATTACACACTTTCAAATTAAATAATAGTTTTGTTTTCAATGAAGGTGTTTTCTTGCAATGTTTTCTTCAAAAAGGGGTACAAATGTTGAATTTAAGGATTACATCTTGTAAATTGGACAACACTGGGTTTTTTATGAATCCACAAAAAGTATTTCCTTTATATATGAATAACATGTACTCACCTCTTTTTCCAATAATTCACTATGAATTAAACTGGCTTTTTTATAGATGAAATTGTCCTTTGAGTGGATTTCCAAATATGATGAATGCAAAATATTCACAACATCTTCAAATTCACGAGATTCTTTTGTTATAGGCTGAAAAAGAGCTGCAGAAAAAGATTACCCTTTCAACACCTATGGGTACATTCATCCTACCACTAAGTGGCCACATAATGAATTACTAGTTAATTTTCAATTATTGTGAATGAGAAGAGTGCTTCTGTATCCAGCTCACACATTCTGATCTTGGTCCTCAATTGTGCAAGTGGCTAAAACAATGTGGAAATGGGAAGTTCTATAATACTGAAACCTAGGCTTGCTTTGTTGCTACTAGTCAGCAAGAAAATCATTTTTCTAGCATAAACTAGCAATTCTGGTGTACTGTTATATGCAAATGTCCTCAACAAGAGGTAAAGGAACTGCTGTTGCTTGTAAAGGAACTGCGTTGCCTGAAAAGCAAAAGCAAAATAATTTTAAGTAAGAAAATGCTGTAAAAAAAGGACTCTGGAATTTTTTGAGGGGTGTTTTCTTCTGTTTGAAAGAATGACAGCACAAACTCAGGTGAATCACACTCAGTTATTCACACACAAAAACTATAAAGACAACCAAACCCCAAAGAATATCACTAAAAGTGCCCCATCAAAAATATTATGGATCAAAAGATTTTCCAATAACTTTCTGTTTCCCTCAGAGATCTGAACTACCAAGAGAATTATTACATCCTGTAAGTAGAAAGTGGACAATAAGCTGAGTTACTTCTACACAGTGTACAGGTATTTGGGGGAAAATGAGTTCTGAGGAGCTAAAATTAAGGATTTCACATGGCATAGGGCAGAGGATGAGCTTAATGAACACAACTTGCAGAGCAATCTCATACATGTAACCAATGTTCCCTCTAAGCTGTGTGCATGCGTGCTTGCCCAGAGCTGCACGGGGTTGCACACAAGCAGCCGGCTTCTTTACCTTCTCATTTCAAATGAAGCCCTGTCCATCCCTACACATATGGAGTGAGGCTCTCACACAGCAGGACAGAAACTTAAAGAGAACACTGCATGTAGCTCAAAAGCAGGAATGTAAATCTTGCAGCTTCTTGCTCTAAGAGGAAGACACCAAGGGAGGAGATCACTCCTCACTCCTTCCAAAAGGATCTATCTGTGCTATTCCCTAATCCCACCTAGAAAACTCACAAGAAAGCTCATCAAGATTATTCAGAAGTTTTATGGTCCCTTTTTTCCTGCAAGAAATAGCAAGCTACACAGAATTAGTGGCACCTTTCCTGCAAAACATTCATTGGAAAGGGCTTTCTAATTATTATTCTGCACAATTTGGTACTGTAGTTTCCTATGCAGAGAAAATGAGATAGGGTTTCATTTTTGCAAGAAGCCAGTACATTTCACTAATGCCAAGCAAAGTTTAAGCATGGCTTGTAATCATCACATTCCTCCTCAGAAATGACTCCTGGTGAGGTGGGTCAGCAGGACTTACTTACAGACTCACACCCTTAGTGTGGCTTAAAACTTCTATTCAAGCTGAATCATTCATTTATTAAGTTCTTTATGCTGTTTTAGTATACAAACCATTGTATTCCGTAGAACTACATCACAAAATGCAAATAAACCCAAATAAAAGACACACAGGAGACCTATATAGGCTTTGGAAGCTGTATCAGCTTCCAAACAAGCAAACACTGGAATGACATTTGACCGAATATTTACAGGCCTTTGCAGACTTTCCCTGGCAACATGAGAAGGTTGAAGGTGGAGGCAGCACAGCTAGAAAATGCTCCCTCTACACATTTACAAATACTGTAGTAACATCAGTAGTTTCAGAACTACTGAAAATGAGTTATCCTGTTCTTTGCTGATTAACAATTCCAACAAGAACATTCAACATTTCCCTCATATTCTCTATGGCTTTACATGCATGGTCAAAGTAGGAAAACCTACTCCTAGGTGCTAAGACTCATCAGCTGAAAGCATTCTCCTCCCTATTTGCTTCGTTCTAATGACTTTACTGTTCTATACCTTTCAGTTTCAAACCCTCTGCCAGCTCCCTTCCAATGCTATTGAACACCAAGCAATCAACTGTCCTTGTCAACACACTTTTATTTTCTTGAAATGTTACATACGAGGAGTTCAATCAGAGGAGAGACCTATTCTAATCCAACATGCATTGTGGCTATGGCAAACTGCATGCCAATGAGAAGGCCAATCACAAAACTACAGGGCAACAATCCTCTCCTGTCCTTCAACAACGACAATGCTGAAGCACACTATATCTTCAGATACAAAATATAATTCTTCTGACTAATAGCTACTTGTATCTCAAGTGGATTGTAATCCATTACACATTTTCAAAAAAATCTATTACAGTGGTGCCTCGCATAACGAGCGCACCGTGTAACGACGAATCCGTATAGCGACGCGTTTTTTGTGATCATTTTTATGATCGCATTGCGATGTTTTAATAGGCTAAACATCGCATTGCGATGATCGGTAAGCGATCGCTTACCGATCTTTCGCTTACCGATCTTCGCATTGCGATGTTAGGGAAACAGCTGATTGGCGGTTCCAAAATGGCCACCGGATCAAGAAAATGGCTGCCCGCAGCGTTTTCGCACCCTGCCCTCGCTTACCGAGGCGGCGAAAATGGCGGCCGGATGGGGAATCTTCGCTTACCGGTGAGTTTTCCCCCTATGGGGTTTTACACTCCGTTTAGCGATGTTTCCGGATAGCAACATTTTTCCTGAAACGGATTAACATCGCTATGCGGGGCACCACTGTAATCTTAAAGGTGTGATAGCATACTTGTTTTTCACTGTTTTTAAAATCAGAAACTAATACAGTGGTGCCTCGCATAGCGAGGTTAATCTGTTCCGGATTAACCTTCGCTATGCTCAAGCATCGTTGATCGGGGCAGGGAATTCCATTGGTTTAATGCGTTCCAAATGGGCCGAATACTCACCGTTCAGCGATGCTTCTTAATGGCCGGCAGCCATTCTCACGCCCTCCCCTCGCTTAACGAGGGCGCGAAAACGCTGCGCGCGGCCATTTTGGGCCATTTCCGGGCTTCCGGCGGCCATTTTGGCCGCTGAACAGCTGATCGTCGGGGCTTCGTTTTGCGAAGATCGGTAAGCGAAACGCTTACCGATCTTCGCAAAGCAAATTTTGCCCTATTTAAAAAACGTTGAGCAATCACATTAGCGATCCCAAAAAAGGGATCGCTATGCGATTTCGTCATTGTACGGTGCGCTTGTTAAGCGAGGCACCACTGTACATTTAACCTTGATATTGTTATCTGCGCCACTTTAAAAGCTAACTAAAAGTTGGTGATCATCAAAACTTCTGGCAACAAACCTAACCACTTGCTGTGTGAAGCACTGTCTTTCATTCATCCTGAGTCTTTGATGAGCTGAATTTTTATTTCAAAAGATAGAGAAAAATGTCTCTTCTCACATTTTCAGCACCACACATAATTTTATATATCACTATTACCATCCTTTTTATTTTTTGGAAAATGAAAAGCTTTCAACATTATTACTTTACCAACCAAGGTTCCAGTCCACAGATCATTATAATGACCATGTACTTTTACCAGCTTTACAACATAATTTTCAAGCTAGGTCAGCCTTGTTTTCTTGCTATCCCAATAATTTTCATGTACCTAAAAGAATGTTAATGTAAGAAAAAAAATCTAAGATAAAATAAGAAGAGTATATTTAATAACTCTGAAAACTGAATCACACTCTGTCAAGCCTGATGAAGTAAAGTGATTCTCTGCAAACTAATCTGTATCTCTGCTACCAAACACCTTACGTATTAGAAATTTAAACTGTAAAAATCTTCCAGACTATGTCAAAGGAACAGTCTGTGTTTTATGATGCAAGATTAAACAGGTGAAAGTCTTTAGCATTTGCTAAGTATTTATCAGTTACCTTTTTCATGTTTTTGAAAATGCTGCTATCTGTTCCATACATTCAAAATAGTAAAAACTATATATTTGCACAAAACAATGTTGTAGCCATCCTTCCCTTATACTGTAGATCTAACACTACTTTAGTTCCTCTCATTGGACTTAAACTTCTAAACAGTAAACAAATACAGCTACAAGCCAATGAAGAACGAAGCATGCTTAAGCTTGCTGAAATCAGTTGTACTGCAAGTGTAATCAAATGTGTTTCAGGACAATAATATTCAGTTCTAAAGCAAAAGACTACATAAATGCTCACTTACGAAAATGAGTTTTTATTTTCTTCTGCTATGGGATATGCTTAACGTCCCCCTTTGAAATCAATTCTACAACATAAATTCATTCTTCACTGCATGCCTTTTGATTCTTACTTCCACTTTCTTCCTTGCTGAGCTACTGAAGAATATATTTATAGGACAATCACAAAGGGTAACATTCTAGGGCCATTAGCCAACCACAACATTTTTCAGTATGAGGCAGTGCCTTTCACCTCTAGAAGCGAAAGATCATATCCGAGTGCTTCCTTTTGTTTCTAGTCTTCACCAGCACTATTCCCACCAGTAATTTTGTATTGCATCACCTTGCTAGGCAGCAAGGACAATGATGAGGTATAGCAACAACTAACACATCTGAAGGCAAAGAAAGCATGAGAAAGAGCACTCATTTACAATTTTCCTGCAAAGCTCCTTTTCTGACTGTTTTAATCAGAATAGCTTGAGAAAGAGCACTAATTTACAATTTTCCTGCAAAGCTCCTTTTCTGACTGTTTTAATCAGAATAGTTGAACTTCTGCAACAATAAAGGAACACATGGATTTTGCAGAAATCTCTCCCAAATTCTAACAATATCCAATTCACATACTCTGGAGAACTAAAAGTTACAGCAAAATGCTCTTCTCTGTCACAGATTTTTAAAGGGACCAAGAAGGCACTCAAGCTCCCCCTCCTTTCTCTTTTCTATCCAATGTCTGATGTGGAACAAAGGTAACATGGGGAGACATTCACACCATTTTAATGTATGCATTAACATCATGTACATATAGTGGTGCTAAGATTCCGTGCAAGAATGTTTTCTCTGAAAACCTACAGATGTCATTTTCTTTACTGCAACTTCTCTGTACACATTTAAAAGATGCAGTGCAAAAGTGAACATACTTCTTTGTGTCCTCCAAAATTAAGAACCTAGGTGTGACGTAGAAAATTTATAGAACCTCAGCACACAGAGATCACAGAAATAAAGGTGAAAAAGAATGAGGCACTTAAATACATTAAAAATCTGTAATGGATAGGAAAAGTAACACTTCCATAAAAACAGAGCTGAAAATAAGTATTTTAAATATTTCCCAAATCCTTTTAAACTGACTAAAGTTCTGGAAAATAACCACAACTGCGAAGTTCCAGCACATAATTATTTCATCTTGCTCACTAAATCAGAGGATAAACATAGTACAGAATATGCTGTAGAAACAGAATACAGACATGTGGACCAGACTGAACTAACAATGTACATCATGTAGTTCATATAAACATTTAGTTCACATGAACATATAGTTCAGTGGCGGCGAACCTTTTTGGGCCCAAGGGCCCAAACTGGGGGAAAAGAAAACACACCAGCTGCTGGAGTGCCGCTGCCACTGCGGAGCCAGGAGTGGCAGTGGAAGGGGGAATTCCACACAAAGAAGTACCTAGAGACCCCACTCTGGATCCGCCACCAGCGCCAGCTGCTCCGGATCCTGGCCCATCGCTTGTTAAAGTGCCAGCACTGCGGCTGCGGCCACCTTCTGAGGTTTGGTTGCAGGAGGGAGTAGTGATCCGGTGACTAATGGCTCTGCATGCCAGGTGTGGCACACATGCTATAGGTTCGCCATCGCTGAAATAGTTCAATTGAAATACAGCATTCATTCCAAGCATAAAGAACAGGAATCATTTTTGTTAGTTTCTCTGGTGTTATGACAATCCTCAGAACATTTTGTATATATTTTCTTTCATATTTATAGATTTAATTATTTTAATATTTTGTTCCCAAATTTGTGACCAGGAACTTAGTTCAATATTACGACCTACATTTTGAGCCCATTTTACCATACAATCCTTCACAATTTCATCTTCTATTTTTTGCTCCATCAAAATATTATATAAACCTTTAATCAATTTTCCTCTGAGTCCAGCAACCCCTTATCCAAAGGTATTTTGTCTTTTTGAAACCCTGTAGCTTCATCTTTTACATATTTTGATTTCAACAAGTTTCTGGACCACTGAGCTAAGACAATAACTTCTGACAATTCATCATTGTTCTTCAAATTAAAATCACTATCTAACATCTCGGCTTATCTCCCGTTTGTCCCTTTGGTTGTTCTTGCTGGGTCAGAGAATGCTTTTAGAGGAGCTACTCATAATGGTATCTTTCTATAATGTTGTGCCTTAACGGTCTTCCAAACCCACCTTTCAGTTCCCCTATGATTTACAAAGGAGCCCTTCTCAGTACAATTTCCAGCAGGCCATCTTGAATATGACTCAATGTATGTTACAAAGTAAGTTAACACTTTGTGTAAGGATCTTTTTCCATCTAGCAACTAACATCTACTTTGGCTGACACCACTTTTCCAAAGTCTCAGAAAACAAGGTATGGGGTGGGAGATCATTTGCTTTTTTTTTCCAAAACGAGAACTAAACAATGGCTCCTGACTACAATTCCTCCAGTAAAACGAGAAGAACATATTCCTTTCAACTTTAAGATAAGCAATAGCTGTTGTTCATGTATTTTGGTTTCCTCTACAGAAAAATATTTTGAAGCTTGTTCCCTTGGAGTAAGGCACTATTCCAGAGAAATGTTACAAAGCTGAAGGAACCCTTTCTGTACAAACTCTCAGATATACTGCTTCATTACCAAATTAATTAGCTGAAGTCCTGAATGTAAAAAGTGAAGAACTGTCATAATGCTCCAAAATGAAATTGTTTAGAGATAACTTGAGGCTTATGTAGAAACTTAAATGAAAGACAAGTGAAGATGTCACACCGAACATTAAAAAAGGCAAGTCAGGATGCTTAAATGACCTCAAGTATACCGGCTTCTATGGTTGACAAATTTAATATCTGGGATATTTTTATTATCACTATGAAAGAAAGAAAAACTGTTATTTAACCATTCGGAAAGCATGTCTCCAAAGAGTTGACTCATCACAAATACCACTGGGAAAATACTGATTACGCAGTCCCTCTGTTAATATCTTTATCTTGTTGCTCTTTTTGAGGCAAATATTTTCTACAGCATGGTTCCCAAAACACAATGTTTTACCTCCCATTTGTTGCACTTCACTGCCATATGAAGAAATAAAAAAATACAAAGATGTCTAACATCTGCCTACAACCTTCCTTCTATTCTTCTGATAAAATTTAGATATTAAAATTCTCTTAAGAAGGATCACAAACTCTTCTCAATTTCACAAGTATGTTTTCAAAATGGCAGAAAAAAACTGACATTATCAAAAGTATTCGGTTTCAGAACAGTCCAAGGGCATCTCAGTTTCAATTCTGAACTTAAAATCTGTTGGGGCTGGGCTGATATGTGGATAACAATCAAGAAAAAAATTCTCCTTCAATGTTAATGTAACTGAAAATTATTCCTAGGGGAAGAAAAACATACATGAACCAGACAAGCTAGAATTCACCCTTTGTTTTGCCTGTGATAGCACATGAAGCTCTCCTTTGATGCTTTATGAAACAAATGAAAGTTTTACACTTTAGACACAGCTATTATTACAGTTCACAATCTTTTTATTCTTCATCCTTAAAACTAAGTATTGCCAAAACACAATCTTCTATAATCTAACAGCTACTTCTTTACTAAACATAGGTGTCTCTTGAAATACTATACAGTAGTTATTTTCAGAAACCATATGAACACTCCGCTGAAAATTGTGATAAGGCTTGATATGGTAGGACTTTATACTAGGGCATAGTAACTGCCCAATTGTCAAGACCTGAAGAGAACAGAATTGTTAATAATCTTAGAACTGATGAACTGGAAGGGACACTCTGGACCAATGAGTCCACACTGTCAAGGAGACACTGTGGGGAACTAAACTCCCAGCCTCTGGCTCTACAGCCAGATGCCTCAACTGCTGAGCTATCCAGTAGTTATTACAGTCTATTTAATGCTATAGTGATTTACAATAAGTTATTTGAGAAGTACTTTAAAATTCTACTTCAGTGTTCTGCTTCTGAAGAACAAATTTTGGTGCAATTATATTTACCTACTACAAAGTACATCAGCTCATGTTGTGGGAGTCCAAAGGAACTGAGTGCTCATCCTTCAAAGAACGTGCAACTTTTTAAGATAATCCAGTCCTAGAAATGTTTGCAAGAACATGGAATAGCCTGAGCTTTGACTCTGAGTAGGCCACATTTCCCAGAACACAGTTTCAGACAAAACTGTTTATTGATTTTTTCCCCACACCAAAGAAGTCAGCAGCAAAGATCCCTAACCTACTAATGTTTTGTGGACACTTCCTAACCCTTGATTATTCTCGGCAGGGAGGCTAGAAACAGATGTGGCTTTAAGAAGGTGCCAACCCAACCTACCTTTTCTCAATATTGCAAAACTTGCCTGACTGCAATGCTACTTATGTTACTAGTCTTGATAAACACTAAACACAATACAGTAATGGCACTCCCACCTGCCGAGGTTAGCATGAAACTAATGAACAATTAAGAATTATAGCGGATTCTTATTCAATAGCTAACTGAAGACAAACAAGTTGTTAGCAATTGGCTCTATTAAAAAATAAAACACTTAAAGAGGGTTAAGGAGGTCTGTCAGACAACGTCAAAGGAGCCTGGATCAGCAACTAGGCCATTTCAGAAAGGCACCTGACTGACCCTCTGGTCCAATAATTCCCTCCTTTTACGCCTGGTTTGGGGGGGGGGGAGGTACAAGCAGCTTTCAACAGGAGCTGGGGCAGGAAGCCATTTTTTAGCACTTCACTAAAGTGAACATTTCTGATAGGATCCTCGGCATACTCTACAAACGGTCGCTTTTCTCAGAGAAAAGGAAGCACTCCATCTTCCTCGGACATCTTATCTGAAAACTAGGGCGCAGGTCGAGGCCGTGGGGACATCCAGGTATTCCCCAACGCCCAGATCGCAAGCTCTTCCACCACTAACTCAGCCATTTCAGACCGAAGCGGGGGATGTGTTTCATAAACCTCTCTGTTCTTTCTTCCTTTAAAAAAAAAAAAATCCGCTTCCGGATACCCCGCGCTTTCTCTTGGGTTAGTGCGAGGCAACCCGTGCAACGGCTTTCTCCACACCCGCAAGGGAACTGCATGCAGCTGTGCGAGATGGCGCTGTGGGTGTGGGGAAAGGAAGGGAAACAGAGGCAAGAGGGGAGGGGGGAGGAAGAGGAAAGGGGGTGAAAGATGCGAAGGAACCACCTTTCTTTTCTCTGTTCTTCCTGGGGATCTGAAAGTTTTTCTTAAGAGGCAGATCTTCGGAAGCTTTAGGGAGCGAGCCCCCCAGCCCCTCGCAAAGCTGCTCGGAGACGCTAGTCTTGCGGTGGCCACTGCGCGGGGATCCCCTGCTCTCTAGCAGCGACTCTTCATCGCTTCGGCTCCTCTCAGAGCGGGCGCCATTTTGTGGAGACTCGCTCGCTTCGACGGCTGCAGCCGCTCTGTTCTCCTCACCGGAGAGGCCGCTGCTGTTCTCCACCCGGGGTGGCTGCTCTGGCGTTTTCTCACTGCCGCTCATGGCCGCGGCATCCGCCATTCAGCCGTGCAACGCAGTCAAGAGAAACGCTGCCCCGGGCTCGTAATGTCCGTCCCCCACGGAGCCACCCCTTTCTCAGAGCCATGCAAGGCGGCGGCGGCGGCAACAGCAACGGCACCACCGATGTCACGCTCCTCCTTGACAAAACAGCCCCTCCCCTTCCCCCGCTCCCCCTCTAACATGGCGCCCGGGCGTCAGAAAAGGGGAGGGGTTTGAGCGCATCCCTTTGCCGCCAATCAGCGCGAAGCACTTCGTATAAATAGCAGGAAGCGCGCCTTTCACTGAGCGGTGAAGGTGGGTGGAAGGTTGCGGAGTGGGTGTGTTTCGCTTGCAGTGTTCTGTTCAAGCGCTGAATTCTGACCACTCAAAAAGAAAGGAAGGTTTTTTTTTAAATCTCCCTCCTCATTTTAAGGCTATCGCTATAAAACGGTGACTCGCTTTGTGGCTAATCTTCAGCTTGGTAAAGGGAACATTCGTTTCCTTCGGCCTCACCAGATGGACGTGGATACCTGACAGCAGCATGTTTGCCTTTGCAATGGCCATACGAGTTGCTGATTTAGAAAGTTAATATAAATGCATATTTAAGACATGCAAAGTGTTTTGGAGAAAGATGTTTTTGTGCCATGTAATTAATGGGTTAATAAGTTTCAATAGTTTTCTGATGACTTGTGAAATCTAAGTCCAAAAGTAACCAGGCCTATAAGAAAATGTAAAACATTTTCATCACTGGCTGTTGTGGGTTTTTCAGGCCTCTTTGGCCATGTTCTGAAGATTGTTCTTCCTAACTTGCCAGTCTCTCTGGCCTCCATCTTCAGAGGACAGCACTCTGTGCTCTGGTGTAGTTGGCTTGGGAGTGGAGTATTTATGGCTGTAAGATGGGCTTTTGTCTTTTTCTGTAGATGGGTGATTAGTGTGTCTTGTTGTGGGTGTATTGTTGTGCTAAAGAGAGATTATCTGTCACTGTGGTTGATGGGTGTCATTAGCTGGTCTTTTGTGTGTAGTGATCCCTGGTCCTTGTGGCTGGGTAGAGTTCGTTGACCCTTTGCACGCTGTATTTTTGAGAGCTGGCAGCCAAGTTTTGTTGAGTTTCAAACTTTCCTCTTTTTTGTTGAAGTTCTGCTGGTGCTTGTTGATTTCAATGGCTTCCCTGTGCAGTCTGACGTAATGATTGCTGGTGTTGTCCAGTATTTCGGTATTTTGAAATAGAATTTCATGTCCAGTTTGTTTTAGGACATGTTCAGCTACTGCAGATTTTTCTAGTTGTTTTAGTCTGCAGTGCCTCTCGTGTTCTTTGATTCTGGTGTGGATGCTTCGTTTTGTGGTTCCAGTATATACCTGTCCACAACTGCAAGGTATCCGGTATACTCCTGCAGTGGTGAGGGGGTCCCTTCTATCCTTTGCTGACCGTAACATTTGTTGTATTTTTGTGG